TGTCTGCTAGCGGAAAAAAAACAATCTGTCAAACAAAATGACAGATTACGATAAAATAGAGGGTTACTGGTACATGAAGTACGGTTGTTTTTGATTGAAAAATAGTAGAAACTTGGAAGCAGGAGTTAGTTGCATTTTCCGTGGGAATCATTCATCTCGGGAAATCTAATGCAATAGTACGAAGTTTTATAGCTGTTTTCGACGGTCGGAGTAATCATTTTTGGTAGTCTCATCTCTGGGGGCCAGTTAAAAGTTTGATGATTTTAGGAAGAGTGAGTTTTTGTTTTTCATTTGATAAAAAGTCTATTCAAACAGTCCAATAGAGTCGAAACAACAATCAATTTAAATTTTGTTTGATGTAGATTAAAGATTGTAATTTTGTTAGAGACAAATTCAGACAATGTTCGATCATATAAGTAAAAATTAGATAAAATCGTGTTGATCTTTAAGATAGATTTTGTATAGACAACGAATCTTTGTTTAAATACTGTTAAATATATTCTCTAGACAATAATTGAAATGTGTTTAAATATTTTGAGAAAAAATGTTCATTTCCAAATGATGATCGATATATTTTGATTTAGTATTGTTTTGGAGAATCTAATCAGAATCTATTACTTACAGTAAATTAGTTATAAAAATGTTTGAAAAATCTAATTGTATTTATAACAAATGATGATTTATTACTTGTTCATTAATCTGTCGTATAGTTCTGCTTGTATAATACTTATCAATTATATATCGAACTTGTAAGTTCTCACTAATCTTCTTTATACTGTATATACAAAAAAAAATAGCAAAATCTTTTGACACTTTGATAAACAAACTAATAATGTATCAAAATATATCAGATATCAAAGACACTGTAATTTAGTTAATTTCTAAGAGTAGATTCAGATCTTATTACAATTGGTGAGAGAGTTATGGTTTAGTAATAAAATTAATTATTCATAATCTGATATTTATCTAGTACTATAGTTCTAGTGATGATATCTTTCTTTCACACAAATCCTATTTTATTGAGATATAATCGAATAGGAATAAAAAACAAAGATTCACGTGTTACGGTGTCATGCCGTGAGATGGGACATCAAAGAATTGAACAATCTTTCGCAAATCCTGACGATACTCTCCTTCGTATTTAAGAATATACTTTAATCTATAAAAATGATTGATTGTCATAAGTTTTTTATATTTATAAATCGTCTATATATATATATATATATATATTATTTTGAATGTATTTGGAAATGAAATAATAACTATAAAGAATATTCAGAATAATGAATATGGAGTCTGTATATTCCCGTAAACAACCGTGTCACATTGTACACAATCATCTTTTTGATGATCCAGATAACTTAATAGACAAATGCGAAACAAAACGGAGATTGTTCATGTCGCGCGTTTGCTCGCACTAACAACGATATACCGGCAAATACTGCCGGTTTAGCACACATTTACCGTACGGTTAATCGATGGTTTTTGTCCGATTTGAATCGCATGAGTGTATACGACCTTCCAGTACGAAGACAGAAAACAAGAATTTATTTTCACTGGAAATCAATGTATCTCTCGACCTCTTTTGACGAAATAGAGCAATGCTGAGATGACTTTTTAATTGTCCCGTAGACCTCTGGATAAAAATAATGTTTTCTTCATTTCACAAAGATTGTTTTTAAAATGTTCGAGAAAGTGAATTAAATTCATGGGAGCATGTCTAAACTTCATATTACATAAGCGTCTTCACAGAAAAACTAATTTATAATGAAACATTCAATTATTTTTCTACCAGTCGTCATCTATTTGCTCATGGTTCGAAAAATATGTTTCTCGCTATAGAATATTGAAATTCTAAACATTCTTTACTTTCTAAAAAAAAAAAAATAATACTTTAGATTATACAATACCTTGTAAACGACGTTTATCTCGTGTAACAATATCAATTTGTTCAGTAAGTTGTTCATTTAAGCTTTTAACTTTAACTAATTCGCTTTGATAATTATGATTAGCTTGTAAAGCTGATTCAAGTTCAGCACTTAATTGACTTAAACGTTGACGTGATTCATCAACTTCTCTTTCTAATAGTTTATTACGTCGAACAGCTTCATCAGCTCGTTTACGATACTAAATATAAAATAATTTATTTTAATAAAAAAATATTTTGTTTTGTTTTGTTTTTGTTTTCTTTACTTTTTCAACTTCACCATTAAGTTTATCTAATTCAGCTTGAAGACGTTGTTTAGTTTTCTCAAGATTACTTGCTTTAGCAAGAACTTCTGTAAGTTGTTCTTGAACTTCACTAATACGTGCATTAAGTTTACGTCTAAATTAAGAGAAAAGAAAAATTAATTTTTTGAAGATAAAATTTTCTTGAACAAAAAAAAAAAAAAAAATAAAGCAAACCTTTGATCTTCAAGTTCTTCATTTTTTCCTTCAATTTCTCTTTCTAATCTATCTCTTAAAAGTCTTGATTCTTCTTGAATTTTAATTAAAAGTTTTTGTAATTCAACTTTAGCTTCAATTTCATCTTCAAGTTGTAATTTTGTTGATTCTAAATCCATTTGAAAAGTTTTTACTGTTGATTGTAATGTTCTATTTGTCTTAAATAAATAAATAAATAAAAAATAGAACAAAAAACAAAAAAATTTAGAGATTTATTTCTTACAGCCATTTCAGATTCTAAATGAAGTCTTGCTTCTTCAAAATCACCTTGTATTCGTTTATATATGGTTTGTATTGATATTAATTCAAATTCAAGTGTTTCAATACGTCGACTAAATGATAAATTTTCCTCAACAAGGCGAGCTCTTGTTGCATTAGAATCAGTTAATTGTCGTATAGCATCATCAACTTTTCCATTCATTTCAATTAATTTTGATTCAAGTTCTTTACTTATTGATACAGCTTGACTTTTACCTTTTGCTAATGATTCAACTTCATTTTTTAATTCTTCAATTTCAATAAGAAATGTTTTACTCTCCTTTTCATGTCTGTAGACAAAAGAAAAACAAAAAGAAATTAGATTAAAAGATTAGAATGAAAAATTCAAACCTTGTTTTTCCTTTGCTTAATGCTTCAACTTGACTTGTTAATTCAGCTAATGCATCTTGAAAACGACGACGAAGTGTATTTTGATTTTCATCACTTTCAGATGATTGAAGTTCAAATTTTTGACGTAACTCATGAATTTCTTGTCTTAAGCTAAAATTTTATAATTTTATTAATAATAACAAAAAAGAAATAAATAAAAGAAATATCTATTTCAAACAAACCGTTTATTAGTGTCGATTTCTCTATCACGTGCATTTGTAATTTCATCTAATTGTTGTTCAATTTCATCAAAATCAATACGTAAATTTGTTAATTCTTTTTCTTGACGATATCGAACATCACGTTCAGTTTTTAATTCTTCTTCAATATCTCGTAAACGACTCTAAAAGATTATATTTATGAAGATCAATAAATTAATAAGAATTTTATACTTACAGCTAAAATAACTTCGGTCATATTTGATTATCTAGGAAAAAAACAAACAAGAAAACGAGATAAAATCAATGAGAAGAAAAGTCCTATAGAACATTATACATTTGATAAGCTTTAAAAGACGAATATACATGCCTTTCGCGGCTATCCTATTGTATGGGATGCTGATCAGAAGTAAGTACATAAACATAATGTCTTTTCTACAACTGTTATTATCTGCAACTTAGGGCAGAAAGCCGGTGTCTAACTCAAAGTTCTTTCGTTTAATCGTTTGAACTCCCTATACACATTAATTAATCGCATGCTAACCACAAGACTCGGTGTATATCAGAACGAACTCGGCATGCTATTAGACGGATGATTTGAGGTAAGGAGTCGTTGATGACTTCCGAAGGTTATTTCATGACCCTAATACTGAAGCTCAAGTACTGTACTTAGAGGACACGCATCGAACAACATAGTCATAATGGTTCTCTGGCTTTAAATACAATCGCTTATCTATAATACCGCATATAGCATCGGTTTTGGTGTATCACTGTTCTTAGTCTACTACTAAAATTCCTTATCTCTGCCACTATTTGTAAATACTTCGTCTAAGATAAATATAAATTATATTGAAAGAAATCTATCGATAATATGTATTTAATATTAAGAGAAAAATTAAGCTCGTACGAATTCATAATTTTTATTTTCTATTTGTTAAATATAAATTAAGAAAAATATTTCGTGCGTAAATACTAAACGTATATGAAAAAAATATTTACAATTATCAAATATCATTTAATATTATAAAATGAAATAATTGAAATTTGTAGAATTTCTTGCGAAAAAAAAAGTGATAAAGACTTCATTATTACTAACATATAGACTCACTCTCATATTCCTATATGATATCTCAAAGAAAAATTGTTCAACTACTAAATGATTAATATGAAACTCTCATAATATCATTCACTAATTAGAAACGTTGTAATTAAAAGAAAAATGATGAATATAATCGTTCATTTTCTTTTCATTACTTGTTGATTGTATTAAATACCTTATATAGTCAAACGACAAAATGTTGTTGTTGTTATTGTATGGTGAGAAAGCCAAAGAACGACTATTTTAGTGTATCTTCCTATCGTTATCGTCAAGAAGAAAAAGAGAAAAACAGCCTATCTTAAATACATCGTTTGTACCATGTACATATATAGTTCTTTTTCTCGTTTGGTAAAAGCATACTGATGATCTAATGTAGCATACAACAAATCGAGTGTTATCAATAACGGAGGAGGTTTTTCTTTTTCTATTCTAAGCAAATATGTTGTTTCTGCAACTCATCATTGTCATAAACAACAACAACAAGGCGTTATTGCGGCCATTTATTCGATAGAAGAAAAAACAAAAAAAAAGGTCTTTGTAATAATCCATGACCTTGAGAATCATTGTATTTATGAAATAAATAAAAAAAATCGTTCCAGAAAAAGAAAAAAGAAAAAAGAAAAAAATATAATAAATTTTTTATTTCTTTATTAGTCAACATCAAAAGCTGGATAATAATTTTCTGCTTCGTTTTCATTTGTATTGTTATCATGATCGACAGGCTCATTAGAACCTTGAACATCATTATTGTCGGATAAATCAGTTGATCCTTGAAGTGATACAGCTTCATAATAAGATTCAGGTGTTTCATCTTCTTTTGATTTAATCAGTTTCTGTTTATTAGTTTTATTCTGAATAATATACGATGTAAAAGTAAGGATATAAAAAAAGTCGATGCCTATCTCTGTTCAATAGAAGATTACTAAAAAAAAATTGTTTTTCTACGAATATATAGCATATTTTCTTCTCTTTCAAATTATATATAATCTATTTTTAAAATAGATTTATAAACGAAATGATGCAATAGCAAAAAGAGAAGTAGTCGTTAAAAAAAATCTGCATGTTTTTCTCTAGAAGAACGAGATAAAATATCGATCCTAATATATCTCGCCAATAAATATGTTCTGAGAAAAGAATTCTTTTATCATCCGATAGGGAATGTTCTTTCTCTGTCAAACCATATATGATTTCTATTTGTCACATGATCATAAAACGAGACAAGAAACAAAAAAAGATACTCTCACGCAATAAATTTTTCAATTTATAAATGAATTCTTCAAAGATATCATGTAGACAACAGTTAATAGTAATTAACTGTCGTTATTTTTTAGAAGATACTTTTTACAAATTCATGAAAATCGAAATAGCTACTGTTTTACAAAATGTTTTTTTGACTAGTTCATATAAAAATTGCAAATTTATCAGGCGAATATTTCTCTTTTTGTACTCGTCTCATTACATTTATGAATATATGACAAATATAAACTGTACAATGTTCGAAAGAATAAAACGTTTCCCATTGACTGGTACAAAAAGAAACTATTCATTTCGAAACGTATTTATCAACAAAGAAATATAAGGATCGATATTTTGTAGCATTTTGTCTAAATCTTACCAAAATTGTGGGCTTATTTTCAAAGGCTACTTTTCTTTTCTATTGCGTTATTTTGTTTGTGTTATTAAAAAAATATACAATTCGAAAGAGAAGAAAAAAATTAATATATTTTCATAGAAAAAGTTTTCTTTCAGTAGTCTTCTATCGAAAAAGAAATAGAGATCGACTTTTTTTGTGCCATTACTTTAACATTGAATGTTTATAAAAAAAAAAAAATATTTTTCATTATTTATTTTAAATTTACCTTGCGAGGTGTTGCAGAAGGACTATCACTAGCATCAGATCGTAATTGTCGACCTGACAAAGTTGAATTTGTATTTGTTAAAGTATGTGTTATTTGTTGAATGTTTTTTTGATGTTTGATGACAGCTGGTTTTTTCCTTGATGGACCAGATTCTGATATACTATCATAAACAAGTGTAGCGCCTCCACCAATTAATTGTTTAACGACAGATTTGGTTGGAAGTGGTGGATAAGAATATTTTGGATAACTAATAGGTGGACTTATTTTGTTTCGTTGAATACGACTATTATTTATTGGCATTCGATTATTTAATTCTTCAGTACTAGCTGATCTTGAATTTAAAGTTGTTATTTCAGCTAATTAAATATATTATTTTAGAAATAAGAAAAAAAAAATTTTTTTCTTTTTTTTTTCTTTATTTTACTTGTTTGACGAATAGGTAACATTGGACGTGGTTGTTGATTTAAACGTTCACGAGAATCAGCAGCTTCTCTTTGATAATTTAGACTAGCTACCTATTGGAGATGGATAGATAGATAGAAATATTATTTAATATTTTATTGTTGTCATTTACTCGACGGATGTTTGAAGAATTATCAAGTGGAAATTGTCTACGATTTCTAGGACTAGCAGGCAGTGTATCATTAACCTTCATTCGATCAAAATTTTGTCTTATTTGTTTAACAAGTGGAATAATTGGTCGATCATTAACAGTTTCATTCGATACTTGTGACGACAAATATGAGTTAAACTTCATGAAGGAGAAAAAAAAAACAATTATAAGAATGGTACTAAAAAATTTTATTTACTCCATTCGTATTTGAATTGGATCCTTGAAAGACAATATTAGTTGTATGTCGTCGTATAATATCACGTTTCTTTAATAAAAATAAAATACGTTATCAAGAAAAATTTATGAAGATTCTTCAAAAAAAATTTACTTGACGATCAGGACCAACTGTACCATTAAGTAGTTGAGGTAAACGTACTTCCCATTTTGATTTAGGTGTATTTGAAATTACTTGTGATTGATAAATAGGTGTATTTGAAATTATTTGTGGTTCATAAATAGGTGTATTTGAAATTACTTGTGATTGATAAGTAGGTATATTTGAAATTACTTGTGATTGATAAGTAGGTATATTTGTAATTACTTGTGATTGATAAGTAGGTGTATTTGAAATTATTTGTGATTCATAAATAGGTGTATTCGAAATTACTTGTGATTGATAAGTAGATGTATAAGATCTTCCAACTATATAACTAAATAAATTAAACATTACTGAAAAGATTTAATTGATTTTACTCGTAGGTCTTTCAATCGATGGTTGTCGACCAAAATATGATGGTGTTATTGGAACTGATGTTTGATATGCATCATCAGATTGTAAAGAACGAAGACTTGTGTCATAAAGTATTTTCCAATCTTTCAAAAAAAATAAAAGAAACCAATAATTTTTAAAAATTCTATTTATTTAATTAAGTTACTCTGAAGTAAACTCGATGTACGATCATTTCCAGTATTATCTTGTTCATAACTATTATTTGAAGTCTTGTTTTTTGAAGGTGCAGTAGGTAATGATAAAACTGGTAAATCATCTTCATAATGGTCGTCATTATAATCGTAATCCATTGAAAATAGTTTTCTATTTGAAGCTTCCTTTGTTGTTGATACTAGACGAAACTCAATGTATGTCGATAAAATTCTCCGTCTTTTAGTAAAAAAGAATCATGAGATATTAGATATAGAAAGTGTAACTATCTCCTCGTGGCAAGATAAAGATAAAAATATGACTTGAATCTTATTCTTCGGTAAACAAATGTGCATACAATATGAAATGTTGTAGAACAAACATAGAAATTAGAATGTGAAACAAACCGAACTTCGTCATTTTAAGTTCGATGTAAAAAGTAATGCAAAAACCTATATTCTTGATATTATTTTAGTTAAATTTAATATCGAGCCTAAACAACGCGAAGTTTCACAATGAATTTTTCGATTTATAATTAAATAAGAATTTTGTATTCATATGATTTATTTATTTTTAATAGCAACATTTTACAGAAAGATATAAGAAGTGGAAACGACGATTATTTCATAGTGGAATTCTATAAGATTTCAGGAGACGTCATCTATACAAATGAGTTCTTGTTGATCTGCAAACTTGTATCCAAATTATGTTCCGTATTAACTCAAAACGAGAATAAGAAATATCTTGAAATCCAATTAGTAGTGCCATTTTTTTTTTGTTCCGTTCTTAAGAACGAGAGTGTGAAAAGGATTCATGTTCCTGAAAACGGAATCGCATTTCAAAATACGTTTTCTGTATTGCTCAAAGTTGTGAAACTTTTAAATAATTGTTATCACAAGTGTAAGGAACTGCTTTGTTTTCTTACTAACACTTACGTACTTTGCATGCCTTTTTCTTTTTTTTTCTTCGGTGATCACGCTTCGAAAGCGAAAAAACCGTTTCTTGGATGCTCTTCCGATACATCTCAAACTATGAGATAGCTCATCTAAACATGTACAAATCCAAAAACATATTGATTTTGGGATATAGCCTTTAGTCTCTAAAAGAAGAAACTCATCTAAGATACATTTTTAAGTAAATCTTTATAGATTATGTATGGGTTAATTTTTTCTGATAGAAAAGAAAGGGTTCTTTAAGAGAAAGTCAGACTAATTGTTTAATAAAAGGAATTTAAAACAGAACTCCGAGAAAAATGAATATTTTGACTTTCTGTAACATGGTTTACCATCAAGAAATAATTTATTAATATAAATACATATTTTTATTGTTTTAGAATGTCCAAATAATGTATTGGTTAAGAAAGCTGCTGAACTTGCTATGCATTTCAAATGATACAAGTTAAATCATTTATTAACTTTATCTTTAAAGCAAGAATGTGCAACTAGGTAGAACTCCATCCACAACATGCTAAATTCTATTGATGTGAACTTTAAACGAATTAAAAATATTCTTCTGGAAAGAAAAGGTTATTCGAGTTATTTAAATAAAACTGATCAGATGTAGTTAAAGAGTGTTAGTGACATCTTTTCTTTTTTTAAGAACGCTAGCGACCAGAACTATCTTCGAATCAAGAACCTAGACTACAAATTGGTTTTAACCTGCATTAATAAATTGAAATCCTATTGCAATGTTAAAATTGATGAATTACCAGTAATTAAAGATTTCACAAAAAAACCTATATTCGCATAAATGAAAGAAAAGGTTTGACTTACTCAGCTTCACGATATAGCAACATTTCTTTATCCTGAAACAAAAACTTTATTAGTAAGTCTTATACAAAAAAACATTATATAATTTCACTCATTTGTTGGTTATATGAATTTCATTTAATTATATCATCAAAAACAGGGAAATGATGCCCACAAAGCTACAAGGAATATAATGAAAACAAACAACATAATTGAAGAGGATGAAACTGCAAAATAAATTTCCTCAAAATTTGTCACTGCTAGTATACCAAGACAAGCATCGAAAAAAAAATAAGAAAAAAAAGGAGATAATTTTTCACAACATGATGTAATGACAGAATTCGCTCAAGAAAGTCAACCTAAATCTAATGATAAAGAATATGGTGACAAAATTGATCGTTATATTATATCAAAATCAATTGTTAATAATGAAGAATCTGTATTTAGCTGTTAGAATAAATGGGCTGTCATATATGCAAAACTTAGTATTCTAACTGCGTATATAACTTAATCTTTGTTTTTATATTATGATTGAAGAGTATCGTTTCATATTTTAATCATTGTATTATTGAGAAGATGCTCATTTTTTCTTGTTAATATTACATTCTTTAAGTACATTCATTGTGGAATAAGATTTTATGCTCTGACACTTTTTAAGAAACTCAATATATTCCTCTATTCTTACGTGTTTTTTATATAGTTTTTCTAAATTGTCAATAACAGCTGTAATTCTCTCTTCGTAGAGGATTTTAAATTTATTTTTGTGGAAGAAGATCATAATTGTTAGTCATTAGTAACGTCACAAAAAGGAAAAAAGAATATTCTACAGTAGCTAGAAAGAGATTTTCAGTGCTAACTAACAATTATGACCCTCCTCAACAAAAATGAATGCTAGAATTCTGTATACATCTTAGTCAATGAATTTTTCCTAAAAAAAAGTTAACTTCATCAGACTCTTAAGGTGATTTCAACGCCACACTTTATAAGGACACGATAGCGAAGACGTTTCCTAGTCGACTAACTTTCAGGAATAAATTGAATGATGTCATATCCGAGTACTTTTTTGATCGGATAAACTATGACAAGTTCATTTTTCTATGCAGGTTCACATGTATACGAGAGAACCTACCGGTTGACATCTTTCAATCTCAATTGTCGGATGCAGTCATTGTTAACGTGTTGTGTTCTTTATGGATTCATCAGCTGGAAAAAATTCTATTTGGCATTTTTCAATTTGATCAAAGGACTCGACAGGCAAAATCTTTGTGCATGCCAAAGAAAATGCCATTCTTTCATATAAAATACGTCTCAGAACAGGTGAATAAGAAGCGATGTACAAATGGATGGTGTTGGCAGAATGTGAAAAACATTCCATTATGTTGGCAATAAAAAATAATGAAGTTAAGACTCTTCATTGACTATTGCTTTTAAACTTTTGCAGAATTCAATTTCATTTACTTATTTCAGAAAAAATCTGCCACACCATCAATAAAGAAATATTTTTAAAGAGAGAACAGGCGTGTTTCACTCGTTCGATACTCAGTTAATAGAAATACATTTGCACGAATTCCCTAGTGAGCATAACTGAGCATCGTGAACATAGAAAAGAACTTTTCTTACCTGGACATATACCAATCGTTATATGTATTGTGAGTAACTGATTTTCAAGTTTTCACTCTCTAATTATGAAATAGTCACATTCGAAAGTCGTAAAACATGTTCATTCACTCCCAAAATATTCACTAGAGTCTATTCGACTGTGAGTAAGAAGAATCACATTGTGTGAGTATCACGAATAGAAGTTCAGTCTTGTACAGATGCTCGATAATGTTGCGCAAACGGAACGTCATATATTCAAATTCTCGCTGACATTCATAGTGATAATCATGAAGATTGATTGTGAGCTAATTTCAAAGTACATTGGATTGTCCTTGGATACTTTTCTATTTTGCTTCAATAGACGTTCTGATTCATATCTGCCTTATCTGTAACATGAGAATAAAATTACAAAGACACATAATAATTCAACTACTTTCTTTCTCCATCATTATGGCACATTTCATAGGGCAATATGGCATCATTGATTTTTACATTAAAGTTCAGATGTTAGGATAGTAGTGTACTAGACAGATTGACGCTGTTTCATTCTTTCAATAACACTAGCTCAAATCTATCTCACATTTTTTTTGACATCCGAATGGTTTTACAAAATAATAACTTTCTGTCTAGTGCAAAAGTTTTGTACTTTATCATTTTTCAAGTCTAATTAGGTGTAGATGCACAAGTGGTTGGATTAAATAGTTACACACCAACCGCCACACCTACATCTAGGAAACTACGGATTTCACTGTTCTCCTCTTCCTCTCTACTTATATATATTGGATTAATCTATGTAGTCAAAGATCTTCGAATGTGTCTCAGGATAATCATCCATTCTTAATTAATTTTCATTATTCTAATATCTTTTGCTGATGGATTCTTTTAGAAGAATTACAAATTCAAAATATTACAGTTTTCTGGTGATGGAACGTCTGGATAATATCTATGAACGTAGTAAACGTATTGAAGAACTGCGTAGTCACGCGCTTGTATTAATGTACACTGATGGTCGACGATGCATTGATTTTGATGCGATTGCGGTCAAGCATGTTGGCGACTTACGAGTTGAACTCGACGATCTGATGCGTACGCGCAGTGTCAGTATCAAACGATGTTATTCGCAGAGAGCAACAGCAGACAATCAGTCTATTTCATAGATTGAAAAGATATGGTCTACAAGCGTAAAATTAATAAAAAATAGTCTATCCATGTAATAGATCTCTTATCCATCATTTGAGCCATATTTGTATTGCGTTTCTTATTTTGATTGACTAAAAAAAGTCAAAATAAAATAGTGATTCTAGACAGTGTGAATATTTTCTGATTACTTTGTTTCACTCTCCAAAGTAGGTTCTATTAGTCAACAGACTATTTTCGACAACAATAATCAGCTGATCGGTAGTAATAGTACAAATAGTTACAACAGTCATATGACCTATTGTCGAACGAGAGATATATGTCTCGTCAATTAGACAAAGTCGAATTTCCATCAAGCAAATTAAAATTAGCGTGTCTAAATTCGATGTGAACCTCGTACATTCAAACATGAAATTTAGGTATCTCCAAGCAATGTACAATTTCTTTTTTGAAGATTATGGCATCTCTGTGAACAAATGTTCAAAACAAGCTCCTTCAGGAAATCACCAGTTTCGGACTGTTGATTACGTTTTAAAACTCTCCTCAAGATATGTTTCTTTATAGAGTTGCGATGATTTGGGTCTAAGTATGAAAAAGATGTAGGCTTGAAGAATAGATTTTGAGAGAAAAACTGTACTTAGTGAGACTCCATGTGACAATTTTCGATTTGTCATACAGTGTCATGCGTTAAATAATTGTCTTCTTGGTCTATTGAGCAAAGTTAGAGAAAGAAATCAGGATGATTGTCACGGAGAAAATTTATTTTTCCTCTATAAAACATCATTTAATTGACAAAAAGCAAATCGAATATTCTTCTTGACATCTATATGGAATATACCGAATGACAGAATATTGAAAATAGTGGTTGTTTTCTGCATTCACAGCCAATTTATAGTTGATGCTCTTTCCATCCCATCATCAATTCATCGTATTTTATTCGATCGTTTCAAATAATTTCGTATGCCTTCATTTGGTCTCTTCGAAAGGACGCTCTAATGCCAACGTTATTCGTGAGTTAAATCTTCTTGAGTAACAGAGGCCGAAGAAAATATTTTATTACCTAACGATTGATTTTTGTATTGCTATTAAGTATGAAGTAAAAATCTTGATTTGATTTTTTCTGTATTGTATTGGATCGTTGGTATTCCTCAAGTTTTCACTAATGAAATGATCTGTACATTTATCTAATGTTAAGGAAGATGTTGTCATACTGTGTTTTTGAGCAGAAAGAAAGTTTGTGTTATGCTATAGAAACAAGCTAAATTGAAATTTATTACATAATTTTAGAATAGATTACACAGATAATTGATTCATTGAAGATTTGCATCCTACACTAATGAAATGTCTGTATATCATGAGAATTCTAGTTCTTTGTATTAAATAAGCGATACGATAGTTATGCTCATTAATATAATGCAACGAAAATACTAGCAATAGTGTCATCATTATCTTCATGGCTGACATGATTGGATAGAACGCATATTGTCAAAGGACGAGCTTCAACAGGTACGAATCCATTAGCTTGCCACAACAAAACTAATGATTAGAGGCATAAGACAAGGCATTGATCAGCAGTGATGACTGAACTTATTGTTATTTTTTGCATCTGTCATCAGTGGCAACAGTAGCTGAAAATTTATTTCATTGGCACATAAGTTCTGAGTGTTTTTTTTAGTTCAACAAGAACTCTATTTTTCAACAAAGATATGCAACATCAATCAACTATATAATTGTCATTGTTTTCGACAACCTTAGCCCATCTTGCTGGCAATAGTTCAATTCCACGTTTGTAAAAACTAACCGATTGTAATTCGAAAAAGGCAGTGAAGTCAGACTTTAGCTCATCGAAGTCTTCATAGTGTTTGTTGCACAGATGGTGATGAAGGGATCGAAACAGATGACAGTCGGATGGCGGAAGGTCCGGTATCCAAGGCTGGTGTGCAAGAACTTCCCATCCAAACTGTTCGATTTTTTGCTGAGTCAACTTTTCTACATGAGATCGACTGTTGTCATGGAGAAGGATGACGCCTTTTTGTAAAGAAATTCTTACATTGTACGATCGTGTAAGAAATGAGATTTGATTAATATTAGCTGTTCGACTTGAAGATCAAGGTATTATTTGAATTTTCTCGAATAATTATTTCTTTTCTTCTTTATGTAATAATGTATTCGAATAAAGTGGCTAAGAAGCACCGTGATTAGATATGAGCAATATGATCTCGGTTTCGTCGCGAACAGAATCAATTTTTTCTCTTGACTGGGGCTGAGATCGGGACCGACTTTGTTTTGACCGGGATCAATTTTTTTTACATATGATGGACCGAGAGCGACACCAGGCCATTTTTGACAGGGGTCGTAACCAAAATTGGTTGGTCCCGCTCATCACTAATTGTGATCCAGAAGTGTTAAACTTCAGCAAAATTCTTTTTGTTTTCATCTAATAGAGTTCATCGAGTTGTATAGAAAAAAATCACATTTTCACTATTTCAAAATTCTTTTTTTTCATGAAAACAAATTGTGAACACTGTTACACACTAATGTCCGCTTCAAAATAAAAGACAGGTTGCCATTTTTCGAATAGCTTTTGATAGGAACCAGATAGAGAGCTACGGTTTTCACCATCCTAAAGAGCATGATCCAGACGATCGAACTCATTCCTAAACTAGAAATATGTAATGGAAACTATGAGAATGACAAAGTTTGGGAAACGTCCAATTAGTTAACAGTACCTTTATATGATGCTGACCCCTTGGTTTTTATATGGAACTGGTGCCCAGTTCTTGGTCTTTAGAATGGTGAAAAGCGTAGCTCTCTGTCTTGTCCCTATCAAAAGTTATTCGACAAATGGGAACCTGCCTTTTATTTTGAAACGGACATTAGCGTCTAATTGAGGTGGTACGCGAGAAAAACGCTCGGTAGCGAATCAAATATTTAGCAAATTTTGTTTTGTTTCACTCGCCATTGTAGGCTTCATTTTCATGGTGATACCCTGATGGTGATTTGTGGCGCTACTATTTAATCTTTTCAAGAAGTTACCGTTGAACACTAGAATAGATGTTCCATAGCGAATCGTTTTGTTTATGTGAGTATCATTGAGACTCTAGTAGTCTTTGCAAACTATGTAGAGGATGCTAGGCAACGTACAGTTAATAGTGACACACTTTTTATTTCTGTTATTTTCGTCTGTCTATGTAAAATAACGAGCAATTTTTGTAGTTATAATATTCATTGCGTTGTTTTTTTCTTTTTCTGTTTTTTCTTATGATTCTATTGGTAATGTAGGAAAACTAATCAGTGTCTTTGTTTGTCATTGCATCAGTATGCATCATTCTCATTGTATTTTGAAAAATAATAACACGATCCCACTCTTTACGTCAACGGCTCGATATAGTTTGAGTCAGTCTCTTGATTTGTAGCTTCACAAGTCAATGGGTCACGCTCGGTAGACGTTAGAAAACGTACCGGGCGTATACACACCGAATGTGACACATTAACCACGATGTATGTTTTAGATATATTGAAATCTACCTTACTTTTCCAAGTTTCAAGAAATTGTGGTAACTTATATTACTATTCACACATATCACCCATGGATTTTCATTTAAACCGTGAGAAACAATTATTTCGTAATCTGTTCGTATGTTGAATACAGAATATTTTTATAATTTCATAGCACAATCAGAGAATTATTCTGCTGATGAAGTCTCAGACGAGCTGGCAAATTCGAAGGAACGAGGTAAAATGGTTTAACTATGCTAATAATCATATCTGAACTATTATAGGAATAGATACACTAACAACGTTGATCAAAGAAACGTCTTCGAATTGTTTGCAATTGGAAACAACCATGAAAGGCATTGCTTATAGCGAGCACATTGATAAATTGGGTGCTCATGCAAGAGGTATGAATTTTTACTGACGCTGTATATTAACTCATTTCTAGTCTGTTATTCAAAATCGATAAATCTCATTTTTATTTTTAAAGCTATTTGCGAAACAGTCGTCCATAAAGGAACCAATGATATACCATCAATTACTGAAGGGCATCATCCGCAACTGAACACTACATGTGTTGATCCAAACCCATCTGATTTAGGTAAGATGAAAATGAGAATTGATCTTGAGTATACAATGCTGATTTATATTTACATGTACTACAGGTTATGAAAAGTCGAGCGACGTTACCAATGACACTTCAAAGTCAGATGGTATGAAACTAGTGGATGATCAACATGAACTACTTTTAGAGGGTAAATTCATTATATTACTAGAGCTGTTCGTTCATAATTCAAACATATTATTATTCGGAAATATTTGATTGTTAGGTAGTTTCAATGGAACCAATTGCGTTGTCAACGAATCCCAATCAATCGAGTCGAATGAACTGAAAAAATTGGGAACACTTGAAGGTAAATTATACAATGCAAATATCATCTTTTTATCGAATACTTTTTGTAGATGATAACACTCGAGGCACTGCTGTCTTGCCTAAGATAAGTAAAAGTTTTCAAAAAAAACCTAAACCGAAACAATCACCTCGAAACAAACAATATTCAAAAGGAAAATTTGAAGTTATCAAAAGACAAAACTATATTAAGGAATTACAAAAAACAACGACTACTGAAGAAATTATTGACAAAAAAAATATCAACAGCCAACTATCGGGAGGCACTTTTAACGAAGGTATATTTGTTTGTGCGATAACTGTTGTAGAAGTCGATACAGTCAGTGTAAGAAAACCTGATGTAATAGTTTCATTTAGTTTAGATGTCCTGCAAAAAAATTGCGTCAACTTCTCTAAGCCGAATGAATCTAATCTGGCTATAAGATCTACCCATAATAATCGTAAATAGGGTGATATTATAACTAAATGTAAAAATAACGAGTTTCCGAAGGAAATAATATCATCAAGCTACTATGATCGAGAAATATTTACATGTACGAAGTCATTGTTAATAGAAATAGCGCAAAATAAGATCAGATCAATTTACAACTCGATAGATAATCATAGTTGCCTATATGTTCGATTGTTCTGGCGCATGTTCTGTTGATCACATAGATTGACATTGCAAAGAAATTTTTCATGTGGCAAAGTGCTGAGTAACATCGCAAAAAGTATTTTATTTCTCTAATAGGAGTGATCCTTTATCCTTACTATCCTTTTATAATAAAGGATACAGATAAATGGATCCTTTATCTTCAACAAATAAAGATAACGGATTTTGTTGTCTTTAAAAAATAAAGATAAAGGATTTTGTTATTTTAAAAAAATAAAGATAAAGGAATGAAAAAAAATTCATTATTTATTTGTTAAAGATAAAGGAATAAAGGATACTTTTACAACAAATAATGTTACGGGAGGAGTTCTTGGACGTGGAGGTGGTCTTTTTAGCTTAACTTTAAATTAAGTTTAAACTTCGTACTTCTTAAGCCAAAGAATCCCATTATAAGATCTTGTACGATTCTTACAAGATCATATAGGAACTTACTATATTATCCTACATGACTATACAAGACCCCATGAAAATCGTATATGATCTTGAACAATTTTATATGCTAACCTCAAAGCCACCATTTCTGATAAAATCGTACTGTGTGATTCTTGTATGATCTTAATGTCAGATCTTATAAGATACACATATGATTCACCAATATTTCACAATGTTGTATACATGATTTTGGTCTAGTTTCACCTTCTATTGTCTCGTTTTCTTAAGGAAGCCTTTTATCTTTATTCACATATTTATAAAAATTATAATAACTAAACGAAAACGCAAATATGTGCTTGAAAAACATTAAAAAAAAAAGAAATTATTTTTATTGAATTTGATCGTAAAAATTATCTAAAATAAAAATAAATAATTTTAAAATAATAAAAACTTACTACGTTGAACTATTTATTAAAATGATCTAAATCCATAAAATAAATAATTCAAATTAAAAAAAAAACTTACGTTCCATTGGTCCTTAAAATGATCTAAAATACAAAATAAATAATTTAGAATAAATAAAAAGTCACTTGCATTGAATTGATCGTTAAAGTGAACTAAAATACAAAACAAATAATTTAAATTAAAAATTACTTACGTGAAGTTAATCATTGAAATAATCTAATATAAACAAGCAAATAATTTAAAAGAAAAAAATTTACTTGCTTTGCATTGATCATTAAAATGATCTAAAATAAACAAACAAATAATTTAAAAGAAAAAAAAGTAGTTACGTGGAAATAACCGTTATAATTTAAAATAAATAAAAACTTACTTGCGTTAAATGGATCGTTAACCTGATCTAAAATATTAAAAAAAATAATTTAAAAGAACAGAAGATTACCTGCATTGAATCAGTGATGAATATGATCTAAAATAAAAGAATAAATAATTTAAACAGAAGACAAACGTACTTCTCCTAAATCAAATTGATTAAATTATCTGCGCACTGATTTTTAGTAGATCAACGCCATTACATAGAAGATGTATTTTCAACCTAGAAAAGTAGCGTCTAAGGTAGAATATATTTCATCACTTAAATATTTATTCAAAGGCACAAAACTGTCGTTATAAAAACTATTTTCATAAGACGAACTTAAAATTATGATCTTATACGATCTTCATAAGAATTTTTCGCCTGGATTAACACTTAATATTAATAAAAAGGAGTTTAGCAATCGCCACTTGATTTCTTAATATTAGGTATTCAGTTAGCACTTAATTCTAAAAATTAAGCGTTAAGTAGGGTGGACAGCTCACGCTCATGAGCGCGAGCGGTTTTCCTATCTCGAACAGGAGAGGTATTTTGAGTTTGATTTTTTTCATCAGGGGAAGGGTTTTTTTTCACAAAATAATGATTTTTTTATAAAGTTTGACCAAAGGTAATTGTGGTCGGGGAATCTGAATCTGTAATCAGTTTTTCGAAATTTTGAGTTTGATTTCTTAAAAACTTTTTACGACAAAAGTTTTTAAAAAAATCGAACTCAAAATACTTCTATTGGAGACAGACAAACCGCTTACGCTTATGAGCGTGAGCTGTCCACCCTACTTAACGCTTAATTTTTAGAATTAAATGTTAACTTAATATTTAATATTAAGAAATCAAGTGGTGATCGCTAAACTCTTTTTTATTAACATTAAGTATTAAGTAAGAAGTTTAGACTTAATTTAAAGGTAAATTAAAAAGATCACTCCTACGTCCAAGAACTTCTCCAGTCATATTATCTCTTGTAAAAGTATTCTTTATTCCTTTATTTTATCTTTATTTTTTAAAGGTAAATAAATCCTTTATCTTTAATAAATAAATGATAATTTCTTTTGTCATTTCTTTATCTGTATTTTATAAAGTAATTCTAAAGGACCACCCGTATTCTCCAAGCCACAATGGTTTGCTCTGGATAGATCATTCGCATGCTCGATGAAAGGAATGATAGAAGGATCGAGTATTTGTATGTCGATGATTATCAATAGGATTGTGTATTGGTCCGACCTCATTAGATTATCACTAATGTTTTTTTTCTATTTTCACAACAATGTAAAATCGCTTGATAAAAATTTTAAAAATGCAAATACGGTTGTCAATAGGTAAATAAATTACAAAGTTTCAAAATACTAATCTAGTAATCCCTAGTCATTTTGAACTATTTCTGATCTTAGACTTATCATATGTTATAATTCTAGAAAGCCTTTCGAATCTGTTACAGATCAAGATCCAAAAATATAGGCTTCGATTATACTACCTATAGCATTGATAATATTAGTATACTTTCTTTCACGTACCAAATTTAACTTAACTAATTCATTGTTCATAGTGAGTTTAACGAGATAAGATGGTTTTTCTTCTACAATTCATTTTTCTTCTTCTTTTCAAACATATCTGATGGAAAATTATTGTGAAACACAGTTGACAATCGTTTTGTATTATAAAGCGAGAAACTTGGACCTATCTCGTTCCTCTACACAGACCGTGACAAACATGTCAATATGTTTTTTTTTGGGCAATGCAATTTTGTATCATAGAATAAAGATAAAAATGAATAGAAAATTTATCCCAATGGATAAATAAATATTTCATAAGATAATTCCTTAATAATAAATCCAAAAAAGTATTTCAACATGTTTGTCACGATCTGTGACGCACGAATCTATTTTTGTGACATGTCAGAGGGGTAACTTCAGCAAAAGATCCCTAAAAACATTCTACGATTTGAGCTTCATGACCGCTCTGAATGTCTGTTTTCATTTGTGACGGTTTAGAGAAGCAATACACACGCTAAGATACTGGTTTGTTTGAACTTGAGAGCAATCCTAATATATGTAGACAGAGCCTTTATGTATAATTAAAACGACTCCGTCTTATTATACATTTTAATTCCGTAGAGATTAAACTTAAAGCTTTTTAAAGAATATGATCATTGTAAGATACACATCTAAGCCGAAAATTCGTTTCAACTTTTCGATCGCATTCAATTATTCCACTGTTTCAGTTTTTCGCTTCATACCTATCCCGTGCAACACACTATTTCGATTTTCTTCCATGTAGTTTTATTTCCTTAACAAAAACCATGTACGAGACTCCCTAGTATTTTGATATATTAGAGCACGTTGATTAGTAGATAGATAACTCGGATCATAAACTAAAAAAGTCACCTCGACTTTTTGATATTTAAAGTATTGATTGAATAGGACCAGAACTGTTCAATAAAACGAAAATCTTCAACTTCTCTACTGAATCGCGTCGAGCATTGGCTAAGAGTCTACGAAACGAAGCACGCAGCCTGCTCAAAAATCTTCAAACAACATTCGGCAAAAAATTCAACGGTGCCTATCAATTATTACTGATTCGCATACCTCATACAAGAAAACGTTCATTATTATTTCGCTTGATTCTTCGCGTCAATAATGATAGCTGGCGCATAAAGTATTCTAACAAGTGTTCAAAACCGGTTGTTTATGCATTTATCAATCGAGTCGAAGCAGAGTCAAGAGATCAAGACTCTCACTTTCGCTATACATCCTCTGAAGAAGAGAATAGTCGTGAAGAACTGTGGAAATGTGAAAAGACAGTTGCTGTTGGGACAAGACATGAGAAACCATGTGGATTCTTTGTACTGAATAATTGTGTTCACAGAGGCAGGCGTTTCTTTGCTGCTGGACGAGGCAACCAACTTCCAATTGTAACAGTAAATCCTGTTTATCATACCAATAATAAAAATTGGGTAAAAGCTAAGGCCGCCTGGAAAGCTGTCATCGACACGATTAATCATCTAAAACAAAAACTTAGCATACAATCGTTTCCAATGTCTCGATTATACATTAACTTTGGTCGTTGGCATTCTCAAGTCGAAACAACGAATTATCTCACTCAAGAAGGTGGTCATGCTCATATAAACATTGTGCTTACCAGGAAAACTATCGACGCATGTAAAAGGTAATTACATGAGCAATTTGTCTTCTTATAAAATATACTGTTTATAATATTTCAAACGATGAAGAAACGAGTAGAGGTATCCCTCAGTTATATTGATCACATGTCAATCATATACACAGTCAAAGAATGGTAGATGCATACGGCAGCAAAAATAAGGCACTGAGTTTTATCATGAATTCCTGATGCGCGTAAAAGAAAACCTAGAAAAAAAAGGCGATTTTCATGTAATATTTCTAAAAAAAAGAATATTTATACATTCGCTGAATCAAGTACATATTCGTACAAAGTTTAATTCGAGTTAAGTATTTTGTCACTAAATCTTAGAAAACCATCAGGAAGCTCTTGAATAGGTGAATTTCTTTGAAAAAGTAAGACATTACTAGCTGGAAATATTTCTGCATTCATACATAGCTATCTAGTGAAACACCTCAAATCTTAAAAATATGCTGGAACATGTTTCAGATAGCATCTGAAAAATATCTTGCAAAATGTAATTGTAAAAATAACTTTGTAGGTGAATATCATTTAACAGGTCATAAAAGTATGTTCCGTCTAAGATCATTAAAAAGAACATGTATCTTTGAATCGGTTAAAATCTGATGAGTTTGAATAAAAATTCCAAAAATCCTTGTAAAAGACTAGCATAGGTACAGACCAGAGATGGAAACCAGTCTGATGTTTTGACGATCTGTGCCAGTAAAGATTAGTACACCGGCACACCAGCCGGTCTAAAATCCGTATTGGCACCAGTATTGGTTCTACCTCTAGTACAGAAAATGCCTCGATGTCAGTCTAAAAATTGATTTTTTCGTAAAAGACAAGGTATACTCTGAAAGAAAAGACTATAGCAGACCATTCTGTAGGATAGTATCAATTTTGAGCATTTTACAAAAAAGATCTCTTCATTCAAGCATGGCAGCTTTGCTTAAAACTCAGTATAGTATATGTCAATAGTTTTATGAAAGCAATTTGAAAATCTATATTCCTCTCTATCAATGGATGCTAGATTATTTTTTTGACAGTTTGACGTTAGAATTGTTTTCTTCTATTTTAAAGCAACAACGATTTGAAGTTCTTATCAACATGCACTATTCGTCCTCCGAATCATCGTCTGTGGGATGCTGAAAATCTAATGAAAACTCTGAAAAAATCACGATTTGACAAAAAATCCAAGAAAGATGGCATGCTTGACATGATGTATCCTGCGACTGGTCAACTTTGTTACGACCCAAGAAATGATCATCTGGATATGCAATTATCGCGTCGTATCAGTCGTCGTCGAAAACTTCAATGTCAACTTACTGAAGAAAAGTTTAAATATTTCGAAGCCGGTGAAACAGTATCCTAATTTATGTATTTTGTAGAATTGATGGCGCTACCTATCCAAATAGACAATTTTTTTTTCTAATCCAGATTCTTTTCTCGGTGAAAAGCTATTTTTACAGCTTCTACTCATGTTTCTCTCTGCTTCAATTCTGTCATATCTGTCATGTTTGTGGCGTTCCTTCTTGCTCCTCATTCTATTCAAGAAACTGTACTAACTGCTTTAAATAGTCTTTGTTATCTTTCAAAACTTAAAATTCTACTTAGTTCACCTCTTCTACAACATTATATTCTGATGTTCAAACATGTACGCATTTTTTTTTGTGGTCCTACAACAGCTTTATTTGTATTAATGCTTCTTCTCTCATTTTTTAATCTTCTCTGGATATTTCAAATATCTTAGCCATACTCAAAAGTTATCAAAAATAAAAAAAACACCTATCTAAAGCGAGCGTACTTCTGCAACAGACTGCATGAAATAAAACCATGGCACAAGATATTGAAATGGGAATTCTTGTTAAAATCAAGCATGCTGTCATGGAGAACTCTTCTGAAATGATATTCACATAAGATTTTGTTGTCTATTTCTACATATCTTTTTACATGATGTTGAAAATCTTTTTAAATTTTAACTAGGAAACAAACTACATCTTTTGATGATAAAATCTATTTGTTGTTCACATCAGTTTGTTTGGATTTTTTAAAACTCATTAACAATTCAAGTTGATTGATGTTTATAAAGTCATACTAGTGAACTGAAAGTTTTAAGACAAAATGTTTGTTTATTTTCGGTTCCGTTAAAAGTGTTCAATGAGTCAAAAACTATGGTTTTGTGCTCGTTCTGAATATAGGTTTAGACTTTTTGTCTCAGTTATTGTTCGAGTCTATTGAGATGATCTTTGAAAGGCCTACAAAAATAGTTTGGACAAAAAACTTGTGCGTACTTTTTTTTGTAATTTCACTATTACAACTCGAAAATACAAGTTGACACCTTTATTAATTTATCAACTTGTACAGCAGAAGCTTCTTTACAAAATATACTATTTTGAAATACTTTTTTGTCTTTTAGCAAGGCATTTGTTTTTTGAAAAATCGACTTTTTGACCAAAAAGTGTTTTGCACACTTAAGGATGTGCAGTTTCGGTGAAAACAGTGAATTACTGACAGTGACACACTGACACTGAGCGTACTGTCTACAGTGACCGCACTGTCTGCAGTGACACACTGACACTGACGTCAGTGTCAGCATGTCACTGCGGTCAGAGCGGTCCGTGTCAATGTATTACTGCAGTGAGTGCGGTCAGTGTCAGTGTGTCACTGCAGACAGTGCGCTCAGTGTCAGTGTCGTCAGCGTACCGGTGAACGCCAGTGTGATTTTATCGGTGGTCAGTATACTGAAACTGCACATCCCTATGCACAGTAAGCAGCTCTTGACAAAGTGCTTACAGTCTCATGAAGGTAAAAGATATAGCTTAGTTCAATATAACATTTTGTAAGGGAATGCCCGTTAGACAAAACGAACGACTTCGATAATTTTTAGCACTATCGAAAAGGAACTTATAGGAGTTAGCAAATGTCTATTGGCTCAACATTCAGTGTAATTTTTTAGGACCTTTGTAAAACTTCTTCGTTACTATCGAATAAAAATAGACAGAATATCTATAATCTCATATTCAAAGAGAGTACAAAGTTCTGATCATTACCCATTAGATATTGGCTTGTCTGAAATACTTCCAAGCAGACCTAAATGAGCACATGCAGAGTATAGTCAAGGTTTTGCATGTAAGTCTTTCCAGAAACATAATAAAACGTTGATCCTTTCTTTGAACAGATGCACCACTGAATGTTCGACTTGGATCACAAGATCAAATATTTATAACTGTTTTCAAAATTTTAATACACTATTGATACGGAACATAAGTATCATCGTATTATAACCTACAAGAAAAAATAAGAGAAAGTCAAAAATTGTTGAATTTTGTTTATTTATTTTTGGCTATCATGTTTGAAATCAATCAGAGATCTAGTGTAGCCTACAAAGCATGAGGATTATTACCCATACTCATCTCAAATACAAGTGAAAAATAACGACTATGTCAATTGATCTGTATGTCTCGCCCCTGAAATAAGAGACTTTTTTGCTGTGTTGTTTTCAAATACATCATCTAAAAATAGTGAACTCGATGCGTAACTCAATGGCATATCTTTTGAAAAGAAACAGATCAAGATTTTATCAATGTTTCTGAACATAGTTACATACAAACAAAATTCTGTTCATCGCTGTTGACTCATTGAAAACACTTCCGAGGGTACCGAAAATAAACAAACATTTTATCTTACAACTTCCGATCCAAGCGTTATATCGACATCATCAATCAATTCTTCATTTTAAAACCGATGTAGTTATTTTGAAATCTCTTATTCAAATTGAATTATTAGATTTTAATTCATTGAAATTTTTTAGACATTTAGTCACTACCGTCATCATGTTTTATATGAAGAAAATTTAATATTCTTAAAACTCATTTTTCTCTCTCTCTATTCCTTAAAAACGTCTCAATTTCTTTTTTTTTTCTCTACTGTATCGCATAGTCTTTTGATCGTTGTCAACAACAATATAATCAAGAAAAAAAAATATAATTAAAATAATATCTAAATAGTGATTCATCACCATTACTTATTCTTTTTTACTTTTTTTTTATTTAGAAAATGAAACCTTTTATTTTTAATTCATATAAAGATAAATTAAGGTTTCATATTATTTCTATTTCGAAACAACAACATATATATATAATCAAGACAAATTTATATATTTATTCAATTAAAAAATTTTTTCTATGTGCATTTGTCTATCAACAATTTCTTAAAAATGTTTCCACGATCAACATCATCAAATTTAACCGAAGCAATTATACGAAGAAAAAAGCTTGAAAAAAATTTTTTAGATAATCAATTATTATCTATTGATCATGATCGAAATAAAATACGTTTAAATTATGATCGTCATATGGAAACATTTTTACAATTAAATCGAAAACGACATGAAACATGGTATCGATATGATAAACATTTTCGTGAAGCTTTAAAAAAAGAAAAAGATCGACATGAAAAACGTAAAGAACGTCAAGGATCAACAAGAAATCTTCATATTAATACTTTACCATCACTTGTAACATTAAATACACGTTCAGAACCAATAACAAAAGTTGAACAACGTACATTTAAAGTTTTAAATGCATCACAAAAATTACTTGATGAATCTGCTGCACGATCAAAATATAATTTTAATCAAAATCGTCCTTCAACATCATCAAGTACTTTTAAAAGTTCTTCAATATTAACAACAAGAAGTTCATGTACAAATATTAGTACAAATTTTAATATACCAATGATGCAGTCAATCGATTTTGAAGAATATAATCGTTTAATGAATGAATCATTAAAATATGAAACATATTCTGATTTTGTTGATCATTTTGTTAAATTTTGTCCAGAATTTCGTGAAAATTTTGCACAATTTCATCAAGCAAATAAACGAAAAAATGCTGTAGAAAAATTACGTGAATTTAATCAAACATATACAAAAACAAAAGATCAACGTTATCATAAATTAATCGATAATCTTATTGATTTTCGTTCGAAACCAAAATAAAAAAAAAAAAGATTTTTTTGTTTGTATATGTGCGCGTCTGTGTGTGTGTACAATAAATAAGTTTTTGTTTGAAATACAAATAATTAGAACAAAAAAGATCTCAAATCTTATTCATATATATATATAAATAAATGAAAGTTTATTAAATAAATGGATAACATGTTAACACTTCCAAAAAAAGAAAATGACCCTTATATACAATCGATCTGTTAACCGGAGCTAGAAAATCCAAAAAGAAAAACGAAATAACTGAAGACAAGATCTACAAGAGTTTAGATAATATTATTAGAGATTTTGATATTATCTCTATCTGAGAATGAAAAAAAACCAATAATTATGATTTGAGATTTGCTAACATTCGTTCAATTTCAGCATCTTCATCATGTGCTTGTCGTCGATTTAATACCATACCAGATGTAGCTGCTGGAACACGTGGTGCAACAGCCATCTAAATAAATATATCTTTACAAAAAAAAAAAAAACTTTAAAAAAAAAAACAAACTTTTTCATTAAATGTAATGCCGATTTCATCAAGTACTTGATTAACAATAGCATCTTCTTCTTCTGAATCACCTTCTTCTCCGAATGCTGCATCTAATGTTTCTCCCACTAAATAAATAGAATTATTTATTAGAAAAATAAAAATAAAAATACAATTCCTACATACTCATTTCTTCTTTTATACCCAATTTTGTATGTTCTTGAGTAAATTGTTGAGTAATTTTGGACATTTGTGCTGGATTCATAACTTTATTCATTTTAGTCATTGTTTTCGCTGTTGCCTAAAATATGATTCAATATATTTTGAAAAACAAAAACGAACTATAGATGTGCAAAGTTATCCTATAGGGTAAGCGCATTGCAGACTCATGTCAAGTAAAGACTACAAAATTTTTCTCAGTCATAGTACACGGTAGAGCCGATCAAGTTGGTACCGGATCGGATCGAGTCCGAATATGTTGAATCTGATGGGGACTAGCACAGAGTATGGAAAAGGCTTACCCTGCAAATATCTATATCGAACTAACCTGCATTGCATTAGCCATTCGTAGATTTGACGCCATCATTGTATTTTGTGTGGCTAAACCTTGAATTTGTCCTGATGCTTGAAGTGATTGAGCTTTTTGATTTCGAAGTTTAACAAGTTGTTTAGCTAGAACTTCTACTGCCTATAAAATAAGAAAAGAAATATGTTTTTTTTTTATTTTTTTTTGTTTTTACTTTTCTATTTCCAGTCGATGCATTTTTTCGAATTTCATTTAGCTTTAAAAAAACAAAAAGACGTGATTGAAATAAAAATGTGAGAGAAAAATAAATTTACTATTCGTTGTTCTTCAGCTTCAAGTCTATGTCGATCACGTACTAATTCGCGATCAGTTTTTCTTAATTCACGACTATGAGCTTTCGCTTGTTCTTTCATAGATAAATTACGAAAAAACAAAAAAACAATTTTGTTTTAAAAATAGATAACAACAAAGAATCTTTCTTTCTACCTGGTATTGATGCTTTTTTGCCAAACATTACTTATCTAAAATACAAAAGAAAAAAAGCCAAAAAGCAGAAATATATATAAATCAAATTTTAATTATTTATAATTTTATTCTTTCTATATCTTCGTCTTGAGTTTTATCTGAAGGAAAAAAAAATTGAAAAACTCCTTGAACACTATATCCTGATGTATATTCATGTTTTGGATGTCCAGCTGATACTTCTTGGCAAGCTGGCCGTCGAGAAAAATCATATACATAATCAATTAATTTACCCATTGGTTCATCACTAGCAACAAAATGTATAGCATTAGCTTTAAAAAAATTTTTAATTTCATTTGAATCTAATGGTAATAATGAATGAACTGAATCAGTAAAAGCTATTTTAGCAAGATTTGGTAAAATCTTATCTTGACGTTTACGTAATAAATACATTAAACAATCACCACCTGCAGAATGTGCAACAATATAAAATTTTTTTGCTGGAGATTTTGTTATAATTTGATCGTAAACATAAAGAACATGTTCACGACTTGTTGATAAATTTGAAATTTTTTTTGTTAATGGACGAGGAAGTGGATCGGAAGATAAATAAAATGAAAGAATATCATCACTATCACAATTTTCTTCTTTTTTGTCTTTATTTTCACTAGTAGAAAGGATTTGTTCATCAGTAGAATTGTCTTTTGTATCAGTAGAAGTTGTATTTACAACTGTAGTATCCTGTTTTTCATTAGTAGAATTTGTACCTTCGCCGGCAGCATTTTCTTCCTTGTTAATAGACGCTGCATCTTCAGTATCGATTGGTTTGTCAACAACAACATAACTTGTTTGATTTGGATTAAGAATTATTACAGATAAATTATGTTCTTTAGCTTTAGCCATGTAAGGAAACATACCTGAGAAAGAAAGAAATTATTCTTAAGAACTCTTGTATTTGTTAGATAATATGAGTTTCAAAGAAGAAACTAAAATGTTTAATCTTATGAGGAGAGTCCTCCCAACTAAATTAATATCTTTTTAGTTGGGACTATGTACATCACGTAGACCCAAATGAGCTTTGAATATCCGAGAAAAAAATTCGAGCTCTTATCCCATTGCTGCAGATATACTGTATTTTGAAGGTATATTATGAAATACGATCTAAAAAGGAATGTTAAAGTTTAGCGGTGGAATTCGAACCCATCCTCTTCCAAAAGACGTGACAGACGTTGTTGTTATACAATCAAAGATCGTATATGAATAATGTCTTATTCTAATATATGAACTACTGTCTTATGGTATTTCTCGAGGATTAAGTAAAAGGATGATGAACAAATGTGTCTTAAAATAAATTGAATAAAACAATTTCCATGAATGATAAAAGCGTACTTTTCGCATCACTCTTATATACAAGTAGATTTGATGTTCTTATTTCCGGATAGGAGCATCTCAAAGACCTGAAACTATTCACATTGAACTCTATCTCTGTGTAAAATTTTAAGTCAAAATTCGAAAACCAGTTTTCCTAAGGACAAACACGGCATTGAGTTAAAAAAAACATTGTAAAAATGTAGTATCTCTGCAGCAATAACCTAAGAACCCGAAGTCATTTGAAGATATTCATAGCTCATAAGAATTCGCATGACGCACATAATTCCAAAACAATTGATTCATTGGAAGACTTTCTTTGTTAGTATCTTAATATATAGAATAGAATCATTTAAAGATAATCAAAAAAAAAGAAATTTTTTACATCCAACTATTGAACTAATAAATATGGGTTTCTTAACAGTCTTTCAATTAAATTTATTCTGAATCGCTTTCGTTTTCATTTTCTATCTATATGAATTATCAATATGAATCTTGGTTTTTTTTTGATTTCGTATGCATTTTTTTTTTTGGAATTTTGTAATTACATGATATCAATTGTTAATTATAACATACTTCCTATATCGAGAGATTCATTAATACAACATGAACGTGCCCATTGTCCTGGACGTACAACACCTGAACCTTGAATTAATATTAAACATCCATTTTCATTTGTTTTAAAGTCATTTGAAATAAATATATTAACTTGATCATGATGATCATTTGTAGATTCATCTTTAATTGGTAACCATATTTCTTCATAATTCCATGGATCAGATTTTATTAATGATTGAATATATGTATCTATACAACTACCAAGTAAATTATAATGACGTTGTGTAAGAAAAATAAATTTTTCATTTGTTAAACAATGACGTAATTCATTTGATTTATTATATGTGTAATTAAATTCTTCAATAGTTTTAGGATTTTTTGTATTTGGTACTGTTGAAAGTATACTATTAATACGAGTTTGAATTTCTTTTGGAAGACATTCACGTTTAATTGGTTCAGAACAACAAACACAAGATAATTTTTCATTAAATAATAAACCTATTTTACCACTTGTCATAGCTGATGAAATAAGTTTTGACCAACATAATTCACAAATTTGATCAGCCTCATTCGAACAACATTGATATAATTTTGTAGATTCTTCTCTACAAATAACACATTCATCTATTGTTTTAGATGTTGTAGTAGTCATCTAGAATAAATGGAAAAAAAGTTCAAAAATTTCTTGTTTTACTTAATGAATCAAAAACCAAAAAAAAAAAAATAAATGATTAATACACGATCAAATAAATTCATGTGTAATCTATTACATAGTGTCTTATTCTATTAAATGATGAGTTTTTTTTTACAAGTTCATAATATTTGCCACTTATTTCATCTTTGTGAATAGACATAATTTCAATCATATGAACTGATGAATGCATATATATTTGAAATAAAGCTTTTCATCATTATTGATTGTTTTATTGCAATCAAAAATGTGAATGACCACTTCTATTATTTGGATTAATACTTGTATTACTTGATACTTGAGAATTTATAAAAGCTGTTGGATCAGCATAACTTGAATCTTGAGATAATAATTGATGATGTTCAGTTTGAGAAGGTTGATATACATCATACATATCCTATGTAAAAAAAATAAAAATTTATGTGTAACAGATATATTAGAAAAACATTATTTTGAAGGTATTTATAGAACGATAATTATTATTGAATTAATAAACTTAAAGATTTTCTCTGTTCAAAATTATAATTACCGGTTGAGAAAAGTCTTGTTGTGAAAAACCATATGCATGTTGAGACATAAGACCACTTTGTGATATTGGATATGGTTGACTTATTGTACCACCTTGTGTAAAACTTGAATTGTCCTATCATGAAAAAATTTTTTTTTTTGGTCATTATAAATTTTTATTTAATTAAACAAAATAAATACCTGTGATTGTGTTGGATTATTTTTCGAAAATCGTGGTGGTCTAGATGGATTTTTAACTCTTCCGGCACCTCCTCGAGCACCTCGAGCCATTGTTGTTTGATTATTCATTTGTCGATCTAAAAAAAAAAAATAATGAATTTATTATATATAGAAAAATTTTCTTTTTTTTTTGTTTTTTGTTTTTTAAATTACCATTCATCATAGGATTAAATGGTGGTGGTCCACTCATATATGGCATTGGCATAGTAGCCATCATCATTTGATGTGGCATTGGTAAATTAAGTCCATTTGGTGGTTGTGACATACCAGACATTGATCCAGTATCAATATAACTTAATGGATCATGAGTACGAAGAGTTGAATTCATACTATTTCCATACATTGGTCCATTCATTTGACGTTTATCATTCATTGTAGCTGTTCGATCATAGATTGATCCAGGAATTAATGCTTCTTTAGCTATAAAAATAAATAAATTCTTTTCATGTCCTTGTTTTTTTTATTAAAGAATTGTAAAAACAAACCAGAAAACATAGCATTTGACATAAAACGACCACCAGGATTAGTTGGATTAAGAAGTTTTTTTGGTTTTGAAAATTGTATAGCACTTTCTTTAAGATTATTTAATGGACCTTCAACAAGTACATGTTGTTCTTTATAATATGTTAATAAATGATTCCATAATGGTTGACGTGAAAGAACTTTTGGATTACCAATTATAATAATACCATATCTAAGGCAAAAAAAAAAATTTTTTTCTTGTATAAAAAACAAGAAATAAAAATTTACTTGGCTCGTGTTAATGCAACATTAAGTCGACGTGGATCATTTAAAAATCCAATACCTTGATGTTCATTAGCACGTACACATGATAATATAATAAAATCTTTTTCACGTCCTTGAAATGCATCAACACTAGCAACTTCAATTTCTTGATAAAGTTTTTCATTTAATGAACCACTATATTGCATATGTTGAACAATAAAAGCACGTTGTCCTTCATATGGTGTTATTATACCAATTTGTTCAGGTTTTATACCAGCTTTAAGTAAACGTGTAGCAGTTTTTTCAACCATACTTGCTTCTGTTCGATTAAGATATGATGTACCACTACTAGAAATTTCTTCTTGACCTAATGAACAATGAAAAAACATTGGTTTATCCGGTTGAATCCATGGAAAATCTAAGCCTTTTATTGTACGTTCACCAGATGTAACACCATTTTGAAGTGAACCTAAACAAAACAAAAAAAAAAAGGTAGAGAAATACAATTTAATATAACAAATATGATTGATATATTCAAATTTTAAAATTTGAAAGAACATCAGCGAGAATAAAATGCAGATTTTGTTTACTGACCATTGACTCAATGTAGTTAATGTACATTGAAGCAGTGAAACACATCGCTAGAAAAAGGTCTCACTGTCAGTATTTATACTAATACTACACATCCGTAGTTCTTGGAAATTCGATGTACTGAGTAAAAGCTATTATAAATGGTTATTCATATCAAGCGTACGAAAATCGCAATAGAAATCTTCTATAGTGTCCTGTCTATTTTTATAATTTTTATTTTTTAAGAATTACAACGGGTTTGAGACTTTGGGAAGAGATTATTATAGTTTTATAATTTTAAGAATTTTTCAGCAGCCGCTACTGTGAAAAAGCAAGTTTAGCCGCTTCGCCGCTGTTACGAACGAAAATTTTATGATAGTGTGAGCCATCGCAGCTGACACCGATACATATGCGATCGAACATTTTTCCGTTATTTTTCATCAGTCGAATTTCTAACAACAGGGATTGAAATAAATAGAAATTTCTTATTCTCAGAAGAATATTTCAATTTTTAACTTAGCAGCCGTCGCCGCTGAAAAGTTTTGCCTGCCGCCGCCGTTCGATCCTTCGGCTTACAATTCTATATACTAATTAAAATTCGAACTATTGAGATCACTTTAGTAGGAAATTTTCTATTGCATTCGATCCATCGTTCTTCCAATGTAGATTGTATTATGAGAATAGATTCACACAAATCGTAAGATAAGATTTCCTAATTACATCTGAGATATATTCAACATGAAGGTCGAGAGGTCAGCATCTCTCCGAAGACCCAATGGGCCCTTTCAGAGCTTGTGATATCATAAACCATGTGCCTACCCTCTCGGAAATAAGTGTTTGCGCCCCCGGCGCATTAAATTGCCACTCCGGAAGAAAAAATCTAAACATTCGCAATTTTATTCTGGAAGTGAAATTTACACTCTTGACAATCTCCTTGGTCGGTGCATCACCAATCACATATCCCCCCGAAAATCGACAATATCGAAGCGGCTATTGTGACTTTTTCATGCTTGATATGGCGTACAACTGATTAAACATTTTTAATAAATAAATAATTCAAACCTTCATAAAAAATATTTGATGGAAATGCTGATAATGCTGGATGCATTCGATATTGTACTTGTAATCGAATTGGACGAATACCAAGTACAACAAGACGTTCAAATAATGATTGACTAAGACCAGCTTTAGCTGCTTTTTTACTCATAACAACAGGTCCTAATTGACAATGATCACCAACTAAAATAAGTTGTCGTGCACCAAGTACAACAGGTACCATACATTCAGGTTCAGTTGCTTGTGTTGATTCATCAACAAGTATTGAACGAAATTGATAACCATGTGATAAACGTGGATCACCAGATCCAACACATGTACAACAAATAACATCAGCATTACGAAGTAAATCACTTTCACATTTACGTTTTAATGCTCGATAACGTTTTTCATCAGCTGATGATAATTCACCTGTTTCATCTTTTAATTGTTGTAATTTTTTTAATTCTGGTTCACTACAAAACAAAAAAAATTCAATATTTAAAAATCAAATTCTTTTTTTTTTCATCTAACAAAAAAACAAACATTTTACCTTTCAAGATTTCGTACTTGATTATGTAATGCTAAAAATGAAACAGGTGAATCTAATGCTTCACGACTTTTAGCACATAAACGAACAACTTTTAAGCCTGTTTTATGAATTTTTTCTGTTAATTGATCAACAGCAATATTACTTGGTGCACATACAAGTACTTGTCCTTGATTTTGTTTAACAAGATGATAAACAATAGTTGCCGATGTAACAGTTTTTCCTGTTCCAGGTGGACCTTGAATAAGACTTAATGGACGTTGAAGTACAGTTTTAACTGCATAAACTTGTGAATGATTTAATTCAGGTAAACCTGGTGCAGAAAAACGTTTTGGTAATGTTACTTTCATAACTAAATCTTCAACTTCATGACCTAATAAACGATGATATAAATAAGCTGATACACTATTTTCATCAACAGCAAATGTTTTTAATGCAGCTTGCATTCTAATTTTTATTAAAAAAAAAAAAGAAAAGAAGAATGTCTTTTCATTTGCAGAAAAAAATAAATAAAATAAATTTTACCGATCAAATGAAGTTGATTTCCAAACAAATTCTACAACAAAATTTGAACTATATTCAATTGGTGCACCTTGATTTATTTTTAATTCAATTCCAACTTCTTCTCCATAATCTAAAGAAATATTTTATAATTTTAATAAAAAAAAAAAAGATTTTTGTTTTTAAATATTTACTATTGGGAACTTTAACAACATGTCCAACACCATTCCAATTTGATTTCATTGGATCGCCAACATATCTTAAACGTAATTCATCACCTGGCATTAATCTCATTTCTAGAAAATAAAATTTTTCAATTTATAAATGTTTTTTGTGAAACTCACATTGTGTTTTAGGCAGAAATTGATCGAGAACAAGAGGCTAGCCTATCCTACACGACAAAATGCTTGTGAATCGTATTTGTGATGGAGATTTCCACGGCCGATTAATCACAAAGTTTTCAGAAGATTTTTTTTCGTCTGTCGAGCTCGTTGCATTCTACAGACTTGTGTTTTTTGCAGTTGACTATTCATCAAAAATACGATTCGCAAGCATCTTGTCGCTGGTAGTATGTTTGCGGACGCAACGGGGAAGGGCAACAAAAGTCATTGAGTATGTTTCCATAGCAATTGTGAACGACAGGCATCAGACTCCTTTCAATTTAGAAAGTTCCTTTATAGTGCAGATTTTTTTTGTGCATATAAAAATTTATATTCAAGATGTCTGATTTATTAGTCGTCATAAAAAAGTGTGAACTGTTCTTTAGGAAATAATCAATATCAATGTTTTCGAGCTTATTGAGATTTATAATAGTGTATTAAGAGATGCTGTA